TGTGATTCTTTGTTTGGGCTTTGGAGGAAGCAAGGTTTGAACCCTTCTCAAGCTTCTTCACCATGTTATCACGGTTATCTTGAGAAGGTTGTGCTTTCTCCTTACCCTTCAACCGAATCACATCTTTCTTTAATCTTTGCACTTCTTCTTTGAGCTCTATGTTTTCTATAAGATTTAGCTCAATCGAAGATTGGCTTGCTTGCTTGAGGAGCACACTCATTAGTACAAGAAATATTTATTTGAGATGGTGTACTAGTGAGCGGATGTGTGAGAGGTTGAGAGAATTTTACCGATGTAATCACAACCTCATGAGCCACCTCAAGCATGATGCTTGATTCTACTACTTCCTCATGAGAGCACTTTAGATGAACATAATTTGCTTGTAGCTCATTATACTTGCTTGATAGTTCATCGAGCCTTGCCTTGAGCTTGAAGTTTTCCTTCTCTAGTTGTGAAACACTAGAAGAGGAATTAGTAACTAAAGCATGCTCGATTGACAATTTTTCATACCTCTCATTTTATTGCCTTTAGCTCTTGTAATTTGGAGATGAGAAACTTTTCTTGATTTTGAAGCGATTGCTCTTGCTTCTCAATCTCTTCTTCAAGCTCATCATTCTTTTCAACTATCTTCATGATGATGAACTTGTCTTTATGGTTGAGATGATCAAGGTTGTAGTTGTCTTCAATTTCAACATCACTCTTATCTTGATCATCTACTTGTGCTTTCTCCTTTTCTTGATCTTTCTTGTTATTCTTCTTCTTGCTTTTCTTGGCCATGAGACACAAGTGATGAGTATCATGAGATACTGAGGTTGACTCATCACTTGGTCGCCATCGGGCTTGAGCATCGCTAAACAATTTGCTTGTCGGTTCTTTGCCTCGGCCATACCGGACACGTCCGGTAGGCATACCGGACACGTCCAGTAGAGTGTGCAGACAAAGACGTCATGTGTTGCTTGCACTTCTTGCTCGGCTCGGTGCTCTTGAGGTCTTGTGAGGCTTCTTCTTTTGTGTGATGACACAATGGACATACTTTCCAATGACTTAATCTCAAGTGCATCATCACATTTGGATTTTCCATACAAATTAAAAAGTCTAGTCCAAATGAGATGAGCACTCTCCGGAGGTGGTTGTTCATTGAAGATTGCCTCATCTTGAACCTCTACACTCAATGTACTCAAAATAATATTAATAGCTTGAGCATTGAGTTGCACGCATATCTCTTCCTCTTTTGACAAATTTTGTAGTTGCTCCAATCAACTATAGAAAGAGGTATGCTTGCATCCACAATATGCTCAACAAGAGGACTAATATCTCTAAAAGCATTGAGTACATGTATTGACCAAGGTAGAAAGTTTGAACCATCATTTTGGAGAAGCACCGGCTCCAACTCGATAGGCGTCGACATCCTTTTCTCACTGGCGGTGAAGCTTTTAGGTGAGAACCTTGCTCGATACCAATTGAAAGGACCTAGGATGTCGCCTAGAGGGGGGGGTGAATAGGCGTTTCTGAAAATTAACACCTTTAAATGCGGAAACAATTAGAAAGGGGAGTTTCCAAAATGGAAACTCCAAATTAAGAGTACTACCACCCCTCACAAGTTAGCCACAGAGTAAACAAGGTATAAAGAATATATCTAGAAGCTACAACCCCGCAACATCAAGTTAGAACAGAGAATAAATATTTTTAGTGCGGTAGGAAATACCGGACGTGTCGGTATGAATATCTGGGACGTGTCCGGTATACACGATTTCTCGCAAATCAGCCCCGAACTTGCTCCTTTTGATTTCTATCTTCAAACCAAACTGCAGGGCACCTAATTTAACTATCGCAGTGTACACAGAGAACTGCACAAGTGCTAGAGCAACACAAATATCAAATGAAATGCGAATTGAGACACGATATTTGTTTTATCAAGTTCGGACTCGTTCGAGTCCTACTCTCCGTTGAGGGGGCTGCAGGCGACCAATGAAGGTCAGCCCTAGAGGATACCACGAAGGTCACTCTAGCCGGAGTCTTTTCAACTCCTTTTCCTCCTTCCACTAATTGATTCCGAGGCGGCGGAATCGATAATGCTATAAACTTTCCGAGGCACACCACAATCTCCGGGTGCTCTCCGCGACGTCTAACCATCTAGGACCGAAGAGTCCAAGAGTAACAATGCGAATCATGAGATTGACAATATGCACAAGTGCTCAAGTGGTTGGATGGCTCTCTTTTGAATTTCACTCAACCCACAAATTGATTTTGCAAGTTTGATCAATCACTCACTAAGAGAGGGTTGGCAAGGCTCAAAAACGTGTGTCTAAGTCAAGAGAATCAGCAGCCTCAAAGGTGGAGGCTTGGGGTATTATAGCCCCCTTGAAAAACTAGCCGTTTATAGTCGTTTGTAATACCGGACACGTCCGGTATGCATACGGACACGTCCGGTATGACTCAGATCGCGCCAACGGTAACTAAGTTCTGATGATGTTGTGAGGCATCGGAACTCCCGAAGAATGCCGGGACTTCCGAACCGTCGGAACTCCCGACTCAAGTCGGAACCCCGACCCTCGGTAATTTTGAAAAACATGTAATCGAAGTTAAAGTTAGTGAGGTGTCGGAACTCCCGACCGTCGGAACTCCTCCGACATACGCCGGAACTCCCGACCCTCACGGCTTTTTTTGAAAACTAGCCGTTGGCTTCTGGTCATCCATACCGGACACGTCCGGTATTAATACCGGACACGTCCCGTATGACCGGAGACGATGAACCTCCAAGTCGGTTGAAGTGCGACACGCGTGAACTCCCGACCCATGCCGGGACTCCGACCGTCGGAACTCCCGAACTAACCAACCCGAGAACAACAATTTTACAGTTCTTTGGACAAATACCGGACACGTCCGGTATGAATACCGGACACGTCAGGTATTGCTGCACCAAACAACAAATCGATTAGCTCTTTTGTCTCTCAAATACTCAAAACTCACATGGGTTGGCTTGAGCACCTATGAAACATTATCTATCAACATGATGCATCCCTCTTAATAGTACGGCATACCTATTAAACTAAAGACAAACGGAAATATGAATTTGTACCACTTGAGTTGTTCTTTTGAATTGATGCCGTCCCTTCCAATCTTCATCAAGTAAGGGTGCTAACATGTTGATGTTGATCTTTTCACTTGAGCATAGCCATCTTGAGCATGTGACTTGATTCCATTCATCAAGTTTGAATAATCCCAAATGTATCAAGTCACTTCCATCAAATACTTCATTATAGATTTGATACTTCACATCAATATAACCATCTTAGCTTGACTAGTACCTCAACTAAATGCAAGTACTTTCTTCTTCACCCTAGCTAGGTTCTTCGGCCGCCAAGCCGTCGCTTGCCCTTCACCCTTGCTTAGTACCTCGAAGCCTTTCCTTGCTATCTTCACCATCTGAAGCCATCAAGTCACATCTTGTGTTGAATCATCCATTCATATGTATTGTTATCTTTTTCATTTTAATTTAGCAAGCTTCAGATATGAGACCATTCCATATGCAATCCATCATGTCTCATTAACTAACAATCATGAGCTTGCTATCACATAGTACATGGAAATCCCACAATAAATAAGCCTTCACATGAATTCCATTTGCATTGTTGTCTTGTGCTTGAACTAGATTGTTTATACAACAACACATCATTTTGGCTTTCATTAAGTACCTGTGAGATAACCTATTACCTGTTCACACTTAGCAAACGGGTTAGTCCTTTAATCACGTTGTCATTCAATCAACCAAAACCCACTAAGGGGCTAGATGCACTTTCAGTTACACATACGTAGATGTGCACGATCACTTCCCCAGTCGTCGTCGCGGCCCTCCCTGCAGCCAGCATCGTCACAGCCTCCCTGCAGCCGGTGTTGTCGCGGCGCCCCTTTCCTGCAGCCAGCATCGCCACGGCTCTTGAATTTCTAGCAGCCGGCGTCGTCATGGCCCTTGAATTTCCAGCAGCCGGCGTCGTGGTGCCCTAGTTCCTTCTTGCCCGTCGACGAGATAAAGAGAGGGAGCACCGGCCAGTGCACCATCCTTCCTCGGTACGCGAGAAGGAGCGTTCAGCTAGTGCCACCACGTGCCCTCCGTCATCGACGAGAAGAGACGATTAGCGGTCGGCCTGCCATCATGGATGAGAAAAAGAGGATCATGTATGCATGCATTATTGCAAGATGTTTCATTGTTGCTTTTTCCCTATCTCCGATATATTTTATAATGTAGTGATCCCTTCAATTAACGTGCTGCAGAAAAGTCTTGTGACATTTGGACTTACAAGGTAATGCTGAACCTTGTAAAATATGCTCAAGGATGAAGTGAGAGAAAAATGTGAACTTGTACGAAGTTATTTGATACTTTTGCAGACATGTTTTCAGGAAACAATGAACTTGTAATAATTGAAGAGGCTTGACTCCCTCTCAACATTTGAGTGTTTCTTGGATTCCATATCCATGTTGTAATAATAGACTTCCAAGAATTGATGCTGCACTTTCTGGATTGTATCAAAGAAGACGATGCAGCATAAAACTCATGCGGGCTGCTAGTGCACAGCAGGTCTCCACGTCCATGCTCAAAGCATATTATTATATATAAACATATAAAATTTTCAAAAACACAAACTTATAACATCAGTATTAATTGTTTCATTACTTAAAAACATCTGACGGTAGATAATCAACACAATAATTATCTACCCTACCCTATAATACATCAGTTAGAATAAATCTACAACCACATAATAAATACTTACTCCACAGTCATATCCTATGCTATATCTATACTCAGAAATACACTCAGAAAATATAACAACATTAAAACGAATATACCAGATTAACTCTGGCTCATTCTCTCTCGTTATCCATATCCGACGGCAGATATTCTTTGAATCACCCACCCCCGATCTCCCCACTTCACCGCCCACGCGTGCAATCTCCGTCTTCCCTGTTATCCCCCAGCCCCAGCAAAACCTCGATCTTCCATGCCTTTGTCTGCCCACCCTGCGCCGCCGCTACCGAGGGCAGGGCGTAGTGCCTTCTCCTTCGCACCAGCGCCCGTCCGCCACCCGCTGGAGGAGCGTGATGCGTGGGTCCTCATCACGGCACACGTCGCGCAGGACCGGCATCCCCCTTCTTTGATCCATTGGCGCAGATGCAAATCGCTAATCCACCATCCACCTGATCTCATCCATGTCCTGCCGCCGTCGTCGCCAACGACTATAGGTGACGATTGGTTCCCAGCCGGCTTCCTGTGGAGGAGTTCGGTCCCCGCAGAGGTTTTACGGGCGGTAGGTTTTGCACTGCTCAAGAGAGCAGATAGACAAGATTCAGGGGAAGGCCATGGGTGCTTGGTCTTGCTTGTGATGTGCTCGCTCTGGTTTTTCTATTAAATTGATTTTGCTTATTATTCTTCTGATGTTGCTTTTACTAATCCAGGTGCAACACTGCTGGGGATCAAGAAATATTTTCGTGGCGGTGGCAACGCACTGTACGATTGGCTCGGTGACGGCTCATCGCAGGGCTTCTGCTCGTGGTGTGGCGTGCTATGTGTCTGTGACAACATCACTTTGTCGCGGCCATCGGCAGTCTGCCATGTGTTGTCTCAATGTAGTGATGGTGCATTATTTCCTCGTATTAATTTCAGATGCTGAGATTGGTGGTTGTTCATTGCTTGAAACTCTGTAAGTAGGTTTCAAAAATGGTTTAGTTCAGTTATTCGTTGGCTTGTTGATGCCAGGATCTCAGAATGAGAGAAGATAGTGTTGCTCTGAATGATTTCACCTACTCGACAATTATGACAGCAACAGTGGCCAGCATACCTCTCCAAATTCAAGCTCAGGTGATCAAGACAAACTACCGGTATACACCAATTGTTGGAACTGCACTTCTGGCATCTTACTCGAAGCTTTGCAGCACTGAAGAAGCTCTTTCTATATTCAAAATGATTGATCAGAAGGATGTTGTTGCATGGTCTACAATGTTGACTTTCTATGCCCAAGCTGGTGATTGTATGGTGCCACAAATGTATCATCAAGATCACTATGCATGGCTTGAAGCCAAATGAGTTCGCGGTTGTGGCCCAACGCCAGCGTCTCGACTGGTCAAGTGGTGGCCTTAAGGGCGCCGCTTGTCCGCCGCTGCCATGCTGAAGCGAGGCAACACCTCGAGCCTACTCGACAAGGTAATCTATCTTACCTGGACGACTGGATTGGAGGGAGTGTTCAGTGGTACAGTAGAGAGTGTGGGTTGCAAGCTATATCGAATCACTCAGCTGCTTATTGGGGATAAAAATATATGTATGTGACGCCAATCTTAACAAGTATGCTTTTATGTGATGAATAATATATTAGTGTTTTTGTATAGTATGACAGACAATGCCAATATATAGCTCACCGAAATGAAGCAGAAAGAAAGAAATTATACTCTGTTTCTGGCTCTCCAAGATACAATATCGATTATCAAATTAACATATTACAGATAACATATTGATAGCAGATCATCCATTGGCCCCTTGTATGATTGTTATCGTATTACTAAAATTCAGGATGCTTTATCAACTCCTCTTGGAGCTCGTACTGTTTTTGGTGAGCTAAAAAATCTGGTTGTCCATAATATTAGCCCCTGTTGGATTTGCTTGTTTATATGGATTTTTTACTTTGTTCGTGGCAGTGGATGGTGTCCTAATTCTTGCTTATCCCCTTGCTTCTTTTTCTCTAGGTTGTCATGCCATTAGATTCATGCACATAGTGGATAGTTACTGATGCTATATTCTGTTTTGCAATGCAGATTCATGAAGGGTGTTAGGGATATTTAGCAGCGTCATTACTCATCAACAGGTACGCTTGCTTTATTCATGTGAAGTCTAGAATAAAACTCGATAACAAATTTGATAAGATTAACTGGTTTTCTATGCCATTAACTTGATTTTATTCTAAACTTGATACCTGATATGGAGCGAGTGCACACAAGGCTGATACGGAGTGAGTGAGCATCTCGTCGGCTGATTATCATCTTCGTGTAGCACATATATTTTTTGCATGTTTGATTTGATATCATAGACAGATTAGAAGTTTTTATATTTTGTATATATAGGTGATTTTGTATATAATGAATAACATTAATGTTTTTTACGTGTTGAAATTGTTTGAACTTTAACTAATTCAAATAGGAAATAAGTGATCTTTAGAGCATAATAGAATTGGTTAATCACAATTGACATTTTCAACAGTGCTAGACGGTCCTAAGTCCTAACATAGGAGGCACCTCACATTCTTCTCTATAAGGTGCTCCCGCGTATATAGTTGTCGAATTGAAGGTAGAGCAATACTAGACACGTGCGTGCCGCACGTGCATATCCACTAGTATGGTGCAGAAAAGGGTAAAAAGTACACCAACACACTACCTACCAGCATCAGCATGCACCACTTGGCACTTGCAATTATTTATACGACACCAAAAGAGAATTACCACATCAACATGCCCCTTCAGTTCCTCAGCTTGTACTTCTGATTGAAGTCGTAGTAGAGCTTATCAAACCTCTTATCAACTTCACGCTTTACATCGTCATTCCTATGCATGTTTGTCTCCTACAAATAAAGGATAAAAATTTGGTACTTTGATTTTCTTTTTGTATAGAACAATGCATAACTTCCCATAGGTCACTAGACTAATACATTCTTGTTTATATGTGTTGGAGAACTATTAGACACTACCTCACTCTTTTCAAGAGCTAATTGGTAACTAAGTTGTGCTCATTTTATCATGACTTTTTTCTGGACAGACCTGCACTAACACTACCGTGCCATGAGCAGTAGATATGATTTGGGTGTAATTCTTGTTTTGCTGTGTTCTTAAATACAGAGTGCACCAATCCACAATTTATAGAGACATTTGTCTACACTTGTCCTTGCTGCCCCTGCATGCTTATTAGACACATCTAATGCATGAAAGGTTGCTCCTACACCAAATATGTAAATAATTAGTTTAGGATTTAATTCTATTTCACCAGTCCTAGTTAGTAACTCTGTTAGATGTCATGCGCTCTTGCATCAATTGCTGAAAGTTTATCAAATGTGACCTTCCATGTAGAACTAGGAAATGTAGGAAATACATTTATCATACGTGCTGAAAACTGCAGCTTGTGCAGTTCTGATTGGGTGAATTATTCCGTGTAGTAAATTACCATCTCTGTGATACTTGATAGTACTAAAGTTGTAGAGGGTTTAGAGATGTTTCTTGTCATGAAAGTTCATGATTTTAGCCTTGGAGAATTAGGAGTTATGAATTTTAGATGTAGCCTGTCAGGTTTTGACCTTTGCTCTGCACATCATTGGGCCTTTGTGATTTTGGATATTGATAACTGTAGAATCTGATTTTAGAAATAACTAGAAAGATGTAGAGAATCTCATGGGCTTTCCGTATTGTTAAAGAATATTTTTTTTTCGTTGTCTAAAACTCTAGTTATGATTTTCCTAAGCAACTGCACTGCTGTTGCCTTAAAAATTCAGATACTTTGATAGCAAAATGGTTGTATGTATAGCATTTCATAATTTTTCGTTCTACTTTTACTTAATTAAATTGACAAGACCCCTTCCATAGTTTTGATTAATTCTACTTTTACTTAATTACAACTATATTCTATATGAATCTCTTTACGTTTTATGCATGAAATAGTAAACCTAATATTTTTCTAATATCCCAATCTTTTTCTTCTGGTCGGTAGTTGGACAAGGTTTGAGTGGGAGGCTCATAATCAAGTGAGGACATAGCCGAGGTGATGACATGTTGCACTGCTAGGAAACCCTTGAGTGCTGCATAGATATTAGGAAGTCTTGTACTGCTGCAAGTTTTAAAAAGTTGTGAACTAACGAGTGAACTGTACACTCATTTATAATTTGAGCTGCTATTTCAATGGCTTGTCAAGTTATTGAATGATTGACTATAATTAATATACGTGAGTGCAATCGCTTTTGTTATGGTTTATTGTTTTTTGCAATGATGATTTATTAAAGCACAAATCAAATGCTACTAGCGACATGACCAATGTGGCAGTAACATATGATCTCTCACAACGAATAAAATTGCATGGCAAATGATACTATTGCCACGGCACACCGATCATGGCAATAACGTATGATCTCTCGCAACAAATAAAATTGCGTGGCAAATGATACTATTGCCACGGCATAGCGACCATGGCAATAATGTATGATCGCTCGCAGTGAATAAAATTGCGTGGCAAATGGTGTACATGCCACGGCATGGTGGTTGTGGCAATAACACCTTAGGCAATAAAATTCTAGTGTGGCAATACAGACTATTGCAACGACGCTGATCGTGCTCTATTGCTACGCTATCGATTGTTTCATGTACCACCACTTGGTACAAAGACGGGCGTAGCAAGTGCTCATATTGCGACGACCGTGAATGTTGTGACAATGTCCTATTGCCATGCTTGGCAACAGACAGCTATGGTTGCAAGAAACCCCAGCAGTTGCAACGCCAAACTAGCAATGGTTGCAATATGTTATTGCAACGTGGCTTATTGCACTACTAGAAATATTCACTTCTATGACGAAAATCTTAATGACGAATCCAAAACTGTCGTAGAAAAGTGCTTTTTATGACGAATACTTCCGTTTTGTCATAAATCAGTGGTGACGATCCTGCAACACTCCCTTTTCTCTATGACGAAATCAGGCATCGTCACAAAAAACGTCATAGAAGAGCGCAAGGGTTTCGTCACAGATCACCTGCGCAACTCATCTGTGACGATCTCCTTTAAAACTACGACGAACATAGCTTCGTCATTGAACTAATTACATATATGTGACGAACAATATTCGATCTGTAACGAACGGCTTCGTCATAGATCTCCACACGATACTTTCTCCATCCGACTCGTCATAAAAGTCTCCCCTTGGTCCTGTCTCCGTCCGACGAGTACCTGTGGGACCCTTTAGCATCCGACCTGTGGGACCCGACAGCTTACGTGTCACGTGTACCTATGAGACCGTTCTCCATCTCCATCCGACCTGTGGGACCCGACGGCTTGTGTGTCACGTGTACCTATGGGATCATCCATCCTATGGGACCCGACGGCTCACGTGTCACGTGTACTTGTGGGACCTTTCTCCATCTCCATTGGATCTGTGGGACCCAATGGCTTGCGTGTCACTTGTACCTTTTGTGCATCGGGGTCTAATAAATTAAAAAAAACCCTCAATGCCTCAGAGTCAAACCCGAGACCCGGAGGAAGGAATGCATGGTCTTTACCATTGCGCTAGATGCCTGGTTGTATTGACGTGTCTTTGGAGTCGTTATAGTATTATATTCTCTGTGTGGATGCCCTATAGGTTAACCTATATTGGATATTTCCCCTTTCAAGTGGAAACAAATCTGTGTTCGTTAGACTAGCGGCAACGGCGATGGAGGATCCTTGGTGTGCTGTGGTGGCTTCGGCGTCCTTTTAGAGGCTAGGCGCCGGCTTGCTGGTGGAGCGCGGCGACATTGGCGTCCGTGTCCGTTGTGTGCTGCGATAGAGATGACAGATCCGATCTATAGGTCTCCTTTCTCGCCTTTTCCTATTCGCTTCGCTATTTTGGTCCTTGCTTGAATATGAGGTATACAAAAAATATTCTAGCGTTGAAGATCTGGTTAGGCCAATGATATGATGATGAAAAGAACTAGGAGGTGGCGCTTGTTGGTTTTCTGCTGATGCCTTGATTTTCTACATATGTTTAGTTTTGTTACTGTAAATGCCTGTATGCAACTAGGCCTGTTAATTATCAAGTGCTTGCTTGATTATACCTATCTGTCTAGGCAAACAGACAGACCCATTGCTTCTGTCTTCAAAACTATTGTAATTGTCGTCCTCTTAATCTTTGTCTGCCTCCTAAGCTCTGAGCTCATGTACTGATTATAAGTGTGATAGATAGACTTGATTTAGCTAGAATTATAATGGTAATAGCTTTATTAACTGCTACTCTAGTTTGAGTTATATATATCTATGTGGTGTTACTCTAAATTTGTTTGAGGTCATACCATGAAAATTGTTAATGGTTG